AAAGAGAGAAGTGAGCAGAGAGACATGGGGACCTCATACCACCAAGAAAGCAGCACTGGGAACAGGGTGTGTCCTTTGGACCCGGGGTTCCTGTGCTGAGAATCTCCCAGATCGGGGAAAGATTGATGACAAGCACCTTCCTCCAGAGTCGACAGAGAAAGAAAACCTTCCCCTGGAGCTAGCGCTCTGAATTCAGACTCCTAGCCTGCTAGATTGTGAGAGAATAAACTTCTGTTTGTTAAAGCCATCTACTTGTGGTATTTCTGTTATAGCAGCCCTAGATGACTGAGACAGTAAACACAAAGTCTGTAACAATGAAAGAAAAGAAGAGAAAATCCACAAACAAAAGGAACTCAGCAAAGGAAAGTAAGAGGAATAAAGAAAACATCAGCACCACAAAAAAAAGCTCAACAATATGACAGCAATAAACTCATACCTACCATTTATCATGCTGAATGTAAATGGTTTAAATGCACCCGTAAAGAAACAGAGAGTGGCAAAATGGATTAAAAAAACATGACTCATCAATATGCTGTCTACTAGAGATACACGTTCAACACAAAGACATAAATATATTAAAAATCAAAGAATGGAAAAAATATATCTAGCAAACAGTAACTGAGAAAGGACACAAAGATCAATTCTAATCTCGAATAAAATACATTTTAAGGCAAAATCTGCCATAAAGGACAAGGAAGGACATTATATAATAATTAAAGAGACAATTCATCAAGAAGACTAAATATTAATAAATATCTACGCACCCAACAACAGGGCTCCAAAATACATAAAACAAACTCTAACAGCTCTGAAAAGAGAAATAGACAGTTCCACAATAATAGTAGGAGACTTAAATACACCACTGTTGGTAAAGGACAGAACATCTGGACTGAAATTCAACAAAGATACAGAAGATCTAAAGGCTCAAATCAACCAAGCTGACCTCATAGACATATGTAGGACACTGCACCCAACAGCAGCAAACTATACATTCTTCTCCAATGCACATGGAATATTCTCCAGAATAGACCACAGTTTAGGCTACACAGCATCCCTCAATAAAAGCCAAAGCATCAAAATAATACAAAGCATTCTCTCTGATCACAACACTATAAAAGCAGAAAAATAAAAGGAAGATCAAGGAAAAAAAATCAAATACACGGAAACTGAATAACACCTTGCTTAAAAACAACTGGGTAACAGAAGAAATCAAAGAGTAAATTAAAAAATTCCTAGAATCAAATGAGAATGAAAACACATCATACCAAATCTTTTGAGAAACAGCAAAGGCAGTGCTCAGAGGTCAATTAACAGCAATAAATGCACACATGAAAACAGAATAATGGGCCCAAATCAAAACATTATCCCTACAACTCAAACAAATAGAGTACAGCAAAAGTAGCCCACAGGCAGCAGAAGAAAGGAAATAATAAAGATTAGAGCAGAAATAAATAAAATAGAGAAGAAAAAAACAATAGAATCAACAAGACCAAAAGTTGGTTCTTTGAAAAGATCCACAAACCATTGGCCAAACTGGCAAAAAAACAAAACAAACAAACAAAATAAAAAACCAGGATATGTAGCAAATAACCCAAATAGGAAATGAGATATGGAACGTTAAAGCAGACCAACTGAAATAAAAAAGATCATAACGGAATACCATGAAAAATTGTAGTCCAACAAATTCGAGAACCTAGAGGAAATGGACAGATCTCTAGAAACACACTACCTAGCTAAACTAACACAAACTAAGATAAAAAATCTAAACTGACCCATAACAAGACAAGAGACTGAAGAGTGTGGTCATTAAGGTTGTGTGTCAGCTTGGCTGGGCCGTGATTCTCAGTGGTTTGGCAGTTATGATGTAGTCTGGCAGTAGTATAATGATGTAATCACTTCCATTATGAGATCTTACATAATGTGATCACCGACATGATGGGATCTGCTACGAGTAGTCAGTCAGTTTAAAGGGAGTTTCCTTGGGGTTGTGGCCTGCATTCAATTTTCGAGCAAGGCTCAAGGGCTTTTGCTCACTCTGGATCCTGCAACTGGCTCCTGTTCATCTGACTTACAGTTCTTGGGACTTAAGATAGAAGCTTACCTGCTGATCTTGGGATTCATCAGCCTCCACATTCTATGAGCCAGCAGCCTTTCATCTTACCTGAAGATCTTGAAATTTCTCAGCCTACAAAGCCTGTGAGCCAGAGGTCTGTTGTCTGACATGTCAATCTTGGGTTTGACAGCCCCTGCAGCTATGTGAGTCAAAGACTCCATCCTGACCTACAGACTTGGGACTTTCCAGCCTTAACAACCATGTAAGCCGATTCCTTGATATCCATCTCTCTCTCTCTTTCTATATATATATGTATATGTATATATGTATATGTAAATATATATGGAGCCCTGGTCGCACAGTAGTAGTTAAGAGCTCGTCTGCTAACCAAAAGGTCGGTAGTTGGAATCCACCAGCCACTCCTTGGAAACCATAAGGGGCAGTTCTACTCTGTCCTATAGGGTCGCTATGAGTCAGAATCAACTTGATGGCAACACGTCAGATCATATATATATATATGTGTGTGTGTGTGTTTGTATGTATGTATGTATGTATGCTTCACTGGTTTTGCTTCTCTAGCGAACCCAGGTCAAGACAATTACATAATAAAGAAAAACTCCCAACAAAAAAAAAGCTCTGGCCTTGATGGCTTCACTGGAGAATTCTAGCAAGCATTCAGAGAAAGCTCACACCACTAATACTCAAACTATTTCAGAGCATAAAAAAGGAAGAAATACTTCTGAGTTCATTCTATGAAGCCAACATAACCCTGACACCAAAGCCAGGCAAAGACACCAAAAAAAAAAAAGAAAATTACAGACCAATATCGCTCATGAATATAGATGCAAAAATTCTCAACTATATTCTACTCAATAAAATTCAGCATCAAATCAAAAAATAATACACCACCTGGGATTCATACCAGGTATGCAAGAATGGTTCAACATCAGAAAATCAATCAACAAAATCCACCACATAAATTGAACAAAAGAAAAGAATCCCATGATCATCTCAATCGATGCAGAAAATGCATTTGATAAAGTCCCACACCCATTCTTGATAAAAATGCTGAATAAAGTAGGGATAGAAAGGAAATTCCTCAAAGCAATAAAGGGCATCTATACGAAACATACTACCAACATCCTTCTCAACAGAGAGAAGTTGAAAGCATTTCCCCTGAGAATGGGAACAAGACAACCAAAACTCGTTGCCGTTGAGTCGATTCCAACTCATAACAGCCCTACAGAACAGAGTAGAACTGCCCCATAGGGTTTCCAAGGAGTGGCTGGTGGATTCGAACTGCCAACCTTTTGGTCAGCAGCTGAGCTGTTAATCACTATGCCACCAGGGTTCCTATACCATTTCTAGTAGCCCCTTAAAAAAATCAAATACTTAGGGATAAATCTAACCAAGGACGTAAAAGACCTATACATAGAAAACTACAAAACACTATTGCAAAAAACCAAGAGACCGCATAAATGAAAAGATATACCATGCTCATGGATAGGAACTCAATCTTGTGAAAATGTCAATTCTACCCAAAACAATCTACAGATATAATGTGATCCTCATCCAAATACCAACAGCATTCTTTAACAAGATGGAAAAACTAATCACCAACTTTATACGGAAAGGAAAGAGGGATTGGATAAGCAAAGCAGTATTGAAGAAAAAGAACAAAGTAGGCTTCCTCACACTACCTGATCTCAGAACCTACTATACAGCCACAGTTGTCAAAACAGTCTGGTGCTGGTACAATGACAGAGTCCTGATGCCCCATTCTTCTTCATATAGTCCAGCTACTCAGATTATTTGCTCAGCATACAGATTGAAAAGTGTGGTGAAAGGATACAACCCTGACGCACACAATTCTTTTTTTTTTACAAAAACTTTCTCCTTTTTTTGATGTACTTTAGTTGAAGGTTTACAAAACAAACCAGCTTCTCATTAAACAATTAGTACACATATTGTTTTGTAACATTGGTTGCCAACCCCATAACATGTCAACACTCTCCCCTTCTCAGCCTTGAGTTCCCTATTACCAGCTTTCCTGTCCCCTCCTACATTCTCATCCTTGCCCCTGGGCTGGTGTGCCCATTTAGTCTCATTTTGTTTTACAGGCCTCTCTAATCTTTGGCTGAAAGGTGAATCTCAGGAGTGACTTCATTACTGAGCTAAAAGGGTATCTCAGGGTTGAATGCTCGGGGTTTCTCCAGTCTCTGTCAGACCAGTAAGTCTGATCTTTTTTTTTTTTTTTTTTTTTTTTTTTTTTTTGTGATGCACACCATTCTTGACTTTAACAATGCAGTATCCCCGTGTTCTGTTGGAACAACTGCCTCTTGGTCTAAGTACAGGTTCCTCATGACACAATTAAGTGTTCTGGAATTCCCATTCTTCGCAATGTTATCCATGATTTGTTATGATCCATACAGTCTAATGCCTTTGCATAGTCAATGAAACACAGGTAAACACCTTTCTGGTATTCTCTGCTTTCAGCCAGGATTCATCTGACATCAGCAAGGACATCCCTGGTTCCATGTCCTCTTCTGAATCCAGCGTGAACTTCCTGGCAAGTTTTTCTTTTGTTGAAATTGATGAACTGATTCTAAAATGGATATGGAAATGCATAAACAATCATGAAGGTAGCACAGCACTGGGCAACATTTTGTTCTGTTACACATGGTGGGAGTAAACTCAATGGCAACTAACAACAGCAAAGAATAGCCAAGGCAGTCTTGAGGAAAAAAAGAACAAAGAGGAATGATTTACTGACAGATATAAAAATATATGAAAAACTACATTAATGATGGTATTAGTACAGGAATAGACAAATGGAACAGAATAAGGAGTCCAAAAACAGACACACGCATATATACAGTCATTTGATTTATGAAAAGAATGACATTGTACAGGGGAAAGCACGGTGTCTTCAATAAATGCTGCTGGGTCAATTTGATATCCATGTAGAAAAGAATGAATTTTGACCTTTATTTCATACCATAAACAAAGATCAGTTTCTGATGAATTGCAAATATACATATGGAAGATAAAACAATAAAGCTTCTAGAATGAAACAGGGGGATATCTTCATGACTTTGGGATAGGCAAAAAATTCTTAAATGGAAAAATTTAACAAGTAACCATAAAGGGAAATAATGGACACATTGGACATCATTAAAATAAGGAACTTATATTCATCAAAGACACTATTAAGAGAATGAAAAAGTGAGTCCATGAACTGGGAGATAATTATCCCCATAAGTATGACCAACAAAGGACTTGTATCCAGAATATATTAAAAACTCCTACATATAAAAAAGAAAAAGAAACACAAATATAAACATAGATAAAACACTTGAACGGACACTTCAGACAGGGGATATGCAAATGAACAATAGCCACTAAACATATAAACAGATGCTTACCTTCACTGATCATGAAGTGAATGCATATTAATGTCACAATGACATAACACCACAACTTCAGTAGAATGTCTCCATTGAAAACTACTGATAGTAGCAAGTGTTGGTAAGGATGTGGAGCTACTGGAATTCTCATACATTGCTAGTGGGAGTGAAAACCAGTACACTTACTTTGGAAAACAGTTTTGCAGTTTCTACTAAAACTGACCATACACAAAACTCATGTGACAGCAATTCTATACCTGGGTACACAATGCACAAAACTGTGTAAATTGTGTATATGCGTATTAATCAAAAGAGAGGGCACTGGTGGTTCAGTGGTACAATTCTCCCCCTTCCAGGTGAGAGACCTTGCTTTGATTCCTGGCCAATGCACTTCATGCACAGTCACCACCCATTTGATTGTGGAGGCTTGGGCGTTGCTATGAGGCTGAAAATGTTTCAGCAGCGCTTCCGAACTAAGATATACTAGGAAGAAAGGCCTGGTTTTTTACATCTGAAAATCATCCAGTGAAAACTCTATGGATCAGTCCTATCCAAAACTGATCGTGCGGATGGTGAAGCACCAGACAGCATTTTGTTCCATTGTGCATGGGGCTGCCATGAATCAGGGGCCAACTCGATGGCAGTTATCAATAACAGCAATATTGATTATAAGATATGAGCCAGAATGTTTATAGCAGCACTATCGAAAATAGATAACATTTATAATATGTTCTATCAACAATAAGATGTGTAAATATATTGAGATGTATTTATACAATGGAATATTATACTACAAGAAGAATGCGTGAATCATTGTTACATGCAAAATCATCAGTGATTCACTCAAGTATAAGACAGAAGGAAAGAATTGTAATACTTCATGCATCTACTTAGAAAATCTCAAAACCACCAAAACTAATATCTGGTGTTAAGTTAGTGATTAGCATGGGAAAGGGATAATGACTGGGAGGGGACATAGAGAGGCTTCTAATAATAATCTGGGTGCTGGCTCCAGAAGTGTGCTCCCTTTATGAAGACATATCTAGGTGAAGTCTTATTACTTGTGTCCAGTTGGTAGGGTATGTTCAACTTCATCTAAAAATTTACATTACAAAGCATGAAGTACCATGGAAGTGTTATTTTATTATCACCATAAATTAGATTCTGGAACATCCAATTGTCCTATGGTGGAGCAAGACCAAAGCTCAAAACCTTCTTCAAGGCATCCTTAAACTCTGTGTTCCTCAGACAGTAGATCAAAGGATTCATTACTGGAGTGAGAACAGTGTAAACAGCAGAGATGAGCTTGTTGGAGCTCCGGGAATCAACGGCCTGGGGTCGGACATAGATGAAGATCATGGCCATGTAGAAGATGGTGACGACGGAGAGGTGGGAGGCACAGGTGGAGAAGGCCCTCCAACGGCCGGTGGCTGAAGGAATGCTAAAGACAGCCAGGGTGATGTGTCCGTAGGAGAGCATGG